TTTTTGCAAAAGTAGCTATAAAACATTATATAACACCTCTTTTATGCTCCGGCGAAGCCCTTATCTTCTATTTGATTTTTTTTCGCGCACGCCAAAAGCAGTTTCAAATAGAATATGGAAATTCAGAATATTCGGGAATATCTTCTATCTTTGAGTCTTGGATTATAATAGTTGTAGGATTCTAGGATCATTACACGTTGTACAATAAATGTGTCTCGTATATTTAGTGGTGTCTTCTGGCTGGAAATCTTACAAACTCTTATGGAAATCGAAATCTCGCAATTCAATTTAAGCCAAGCCACACTTTCCTGGTGCATTGCCCTTCTCCGGACATGTTGTTTCCACTCTGATGTGACATGAAAACAAACGATGCAAAATCCCACCCAAAACATTCTCACTATATCACATATCATAAACGATGGTATTATAGTATAAATTATAGCATATATACAGAAACCCACATGGTGCATCATAGGCGGCTGAGAAAAAAATAGCGAAACAAATTCTGAACCCTACGATGTGAAATTTGTGTTGGACTTGTCTCCAGGCCTGGACCGGAACAGGTGAAAAAGAACGTGTTGAACTTGGCCATTTAGAAGTTTGAGACGTTCTCTACTTCACATGGAGGTTCTGCAAGTCCAAATTCTGTCATAGGTATGTACCAGAGTCTATCTAGTCTATCTTGAGAAAACTTAAGTTGTAGTTAGTTGGTTTTAACTTAACATATCTCAGTCTCAGTTATCTCAGCAATTATATGCTCAGACTCTTCTGCAGCGCGTGCATTCGTTCTGCGGCGGATGTAGAACCCTGAACTTAATTGAACTTATATAAATGTCAACATGCCTTCAACGATTCAGTCTTCTTTCAGGCCAGTCTGGGTCTGTCTCGAATTACTCTAAAGTATGTTAAGCCTGCCAATATGGCTGCGAGAACCAATGTAAACAGAATTAGTGAACAATACAACAACGCGTTAAAACATGTTAAAGCAATACATGACCAATTTAGATTGACATCCCTTGCGTTTCACTTCTTCATATTCAATCAGGGTTCCGGGATCTTGATCTAGACCTGAAACATTCTGGACTTCTTTCTCCATCTGCCCGGGCGCAACATGGTTGATGACAAGGACAAACAGCACGGCTGCAAAGCCGTTCACCAGGAAAGAAGCCAGGAATCGCGGCCACGCCTTTGAAAGTACGGTCATCAAATGTGGTTGGGCAGTTGGTTTCAAGATGTTTCCAGCTAACAGCTGGTCCAAATGTCCTGGATCCGCGGCTGAAAATGATTGTAAAGGATAAAGAACCGAAAGACATACAGCTACTGTCACACTTGCAGCAGGTTGCAATCTTTGCAATGCGGCAAAGGTGAAGGAACGTCTCCGTCATGGTCAATTTCCCAAACCTAAGTCTGCGTTTCTGAAACTTCCAACTGCCAGGAAGCAGAGTTCCAAGACTCTCTAAGAATTAGCTCAGGCACATGTTCTGGTTCAGCAAGGGGTCATGCTGGTCATCTGGCAAATCATCCTGTTCCAGAAAGGCACCACCACTGCTGAGGATGCGCTCGACAATCCTTGCGGGGTGTCAGTAACATTTACAGCATAATCATATACTAGTAAGCAAAGGGGGGCACTAGCATTCACATGGTAACACAGAAATGTTCTGCACACCAACAAATCAGGACAGAAAGTGCGCAATGCGCCTTTGCAATCAAAAAGGTCAACCAAAAGCAATGCACAAGGCTCTGTCGAGCTTTCTCTTCTCCTTTCTCATGAGCAGTGGAGCGTATCAGCCTTATGGCACTGTCTGCAGCTTCACTTCCACCAAGACGGAAGGTTGTTCCTGGCTGCCTCAATATCCGGGAACAGCATGAGATCCCACCCCAATGGAGCAGTCCGGATTGTTGACGAACACTTTCTGATCCATACAAGGCTGCATGGTTCAATTTTAAACATATATTCATTTTTCACTCTGCCAGATCTGGATCTGCAAATAAAATAGCTGAGGCAAGGAACCCAGCAGCACTCATCTACATCCACACCGTGCCTATGATTGAAGAACTACCCTTCTCAAAGTCAAAGGGGTTGAGACGGGATTGATTGGAATTCAACAGACCTTGAAACCTGCAGGCTTGGCTTCCCTCAATTATATACACGTGGGGAACTGTACCGTACCAGCATCATGAGCCAAGGCTGACATTGATTGCACACCGCCACCCACATGATTTTCATCAAGCGGCGTCTGCTCAAATCCTGAGTGCAACTCAACTCGCAACTCTGCCCCAAGCAGTCCAACGGTGAGGTTGTGCCCATCAATGTATGAGTTCAAGAGTGTCTAATATGCCATGCCCAAAAGAAAGCAGTACACAATTTTATTAAATACACACTTATACTAAAATACATCATGTAGATTGGCTTGGACCTGCCCAGCTTCGTGCGGTTGAAGAAGTCAACGAGCCACCCTCTGCTGCAATGGCCGTCCGGGATTGAAGGCGTCGCAAGCGAGTGAGGTGCTCCCGAGAAGGGTGCTCCAGCTGACCGGCATCCGTGTGACCCTGCAGAATCTCAAAGGATCTCAAGGGTAAAGAGTTGGGCATCTCAGTTAGGAGCTCAAATTTCACATGCTTTTGACATGTTTTTGACATCGTTGTGGAAAATCCGCTGGGTCCCGTACAACTGGACTGCAGTTGAGTCGCCAGTTATCAACCAATGCAATGCGGCAATGCGACTACTGATGGGTCACCCGGAAGATGTTCGTTGCAGCGTTGCAATTCTGGGGGCTATTGTTTGGCAAGGACAGTTTTCCTGCTATTGTGGTTGGCCCCCATGAGAAACAACACCAGGTGTCACTGTGTTTTTGTTGGTTGTTGGTGAGAGCCCCTACGAAACAAGACATGGAGTGATGGATAGTCACGGTGGTTGCTTCTGTTGGCAACCTCCTCAGATGAAATTGCAGATTCGAGAGAAGACTCAGAAGGACCAAAGAACGAGGAACATGATGTCTTGTGGTTGTTGTTTTTGTTGCGTCACGGATGCATATGAGAGTGTAAGCAGGAGTCTTTAGGTCATCACTGTCATCACAGTGTGTTTGTTTGGGGTTGGTCGCAACAGCACGAGGCTTTTCCTCTCCAATTGGGGAGGGGAAAGGAGATTAAACGGGGTTATTGTTGACGATGATGTTTTTGTAGCTGGCCAGTTGTTCAGACAGCTTCATTCAAACAAACGCCCGGCGGATCTGTCAGTTCCAGGAACTGTTAAGTTTCACTGAGAATCTAGGAACCAAATCATTACTGTAGTAGTAGCGTCCTACTTCATAGCTACTAGCTACCCCCCCGGGCTTTAAACAATTGGATTAACAAAACAATACTAGTACCTCATAACGGGCAACAAAAAAAGTAAACCCTCTTCCCTGATCTCGCCTTCAGCCCAGCTGTCAGGGGGGGTGTCGGCAATGACATATGGCATGAGAAACGTCTCGTCCAGAACCATGCGGTGGAAGCGAAAATCCCGGAAGATGCTGATGCGAGTCCGAGCTAACTGCTCGGCATACCTAGCATGAAATGGGCATGAATCATGAAGGACCAAGAAGGAACACACATCTGAGAAACTGAAACGTAGCAATGCTGTAGTTTAGACCACCTACAGAAGCTGGCAGTGCATAGCTATGCCAGCTATGCAACATATTCATCGTGGGTCACATCTTCACACTCTGAGTTTGTAGTAGCTATTTGTTACTACTAGTAAGGCACTTGTTACTAGAAGCGTGGCACTTGTTCCTAGTAGCGTCCTTGTTACTACTAGTAAGGCACTTGTTGCTACTAGCGATGCACCTGTTACTAGTAAAGAAAAGAATCACAATCATATCATTATCACTCAATTAGGTGTTGATTCTCCAAGCTTGGCCCTCATGCCCCGCAACGTTTGTGTGAAAGTAGTCGAACACAATATATATATATATATACATGTTAATAGTTGGACATCTAAGAGTCACTGTACGTGTCTTCGAAACTAGAAAGGTGGTGCAGCCGGTGTAAGTTACAAAAAAACATCAAAAGGTAAATCTCCCCAAACAAAGCCAAACACACGTAGCCTCTCTACATCTTGAAACACATGTGTTCGTCTGCATCAATCGATTGGCAACACAATCATAGTTCTGGACAACTGATATGAGCAAGTACTGAGATGTGTATGCTAGGCTGCTAAGCTAATCCGGGTCAATTTCTTGTCGAAACCCTGCTTGGACGGAATACGGAAATGATGGAATATGCATCAAAGTCTGCCCAAACTGCAAAGGTCCTTCCAGCTCTTGTGTAACACAACTCCTCAGCTTGGCTCAGCTCGGCTGCTTTGCTTCTTTCCATTTCTCAACTGCCGCTGAGTCGAAGTCGCTTTCAAGCTCCAAGCGGTAGCCATGTCCTCAGTAAGACCATACCGAAAATGGACAATGGTCCAATTAGACCCATGAACAAAATGATCAATCTTTGTCGCTTTTCTAGGTTCAATATGTTGGTCAGGTGTGTAGTTCTTAGTTAATTACTACACATATCATCACATATCTACAAATGCTAAGCAAATCCTACGAGCCAGTGAAGGCCTACCCAACCTTCGCAGTGACAAGACACGCGAGATCAAAGAGTTCACGTAGGCATAGCACTCACCCCAAAGCACGTGCGGAAACTGCTGGTGGTCCACAAAACCCAGTCGAAGCAACTCGGTGTATACTTTCCTCAGGAGGGGAGTGCAACAGCAACCATGTATCGGCATGTATCGGCTCAAGGGAGAGTCAAGGGCATTCTAGATATGTACGGCTGCCAAGTTGAAGGATTGCAACATCGCGCATGTTGACAAGACTAGCACCCCGATACTCAAAAGGTAGGCAAACAAGAATTGCAGCCCGGCATCATGTACATCTCATTGCCCTTCGCTTTGCAAAACACCTGGCCAGTCTGGTACAATGGCAGCATGGTTGCAGTTGCATAAATATATAAGGCGATCTTCCCACACAGTGGCTTGATTCAACAGCCACTTCACTTGACTTGCCAAAGGCACATGATAACCTTCCTACAGCCTGCTTACAACCGATCTGAGCTACAAGTATATAACAAGCAACAGACACGCGCGCGCGCGCGTGCGCGCGCGAAGCCTGAAAGAGTGTCATTTTTGGCAACTTTTGAGCTCTGTAAAATTTGGTCGTGGCTTCGCTCAGCTCGACGATCCTGGCTGCAACTGCTTTGAGCGCAGTGGAGCACCCGGGCAGCTCCATAGCAAATGGAACTGGAGGGCCTCAACTATTACAATATCACATACTACATGCCGTATATCCACTGCTTTCTATAGATTTAGCACATTCTAGCACATATCTCGCTCCTGGCACGGCCCTTCATCCACTGAATGATGGCACGGCCAACAGCGCGGGGCTTTGCCACCACATTGCCAAGGTCATCCAGGGTGCTGTTGTCAGACCTAAAAAGAAAGCAGCCATACGAGCATGTTGTCATATGCCAAAACTTTGCCATGTGTATGCATGGGCGCTGCAACTGGAACCCATCGTCTCCTGTCTGTTCTACAGCCATCGGATGCACATCAATGAGGAGCCGATCATTTGGCACAAAATGCACTAGCCAATCCGAGGCACGCAGCAGCAGGCGCAGTCTTGCTCTGCAAGGTGTGCTTGTGACATATTTGCGCATTGATTAGGAAGACCCGGCCGGCACCATCCTGAGCCAACACAAGAAGATCCGGCTTGCAGCGTTAAGCTAAGCTCTATATGTTGGCCTCCTGGTTGCAAACATGTTTATATACACTAGAGCATATATATATATATATATACATTCTTGGAACATTACATGAGATGGAATGAGGGAACGTTTTCATTCAACCTAGTTTGCGGTTGTGATTTCTGATTTTGTTTGGCATGGGATTGCTCGATTGCTCCCTCTCACCTGGTCCTCCGCAACCCCAAACTGTGTTCTCGGGTAAGAACGCTTGTCCATGGGGGTTGGTGGCCAATGAGGGATAAAGCGAATTGGATCACTACTGGATGAGACGTTTTGGTTACTGGGAGCAAGGACGCTACTAGTACTAGTAACAAGAAGCTACGAACGAGGCTCCTGGCCGCACTGCTTCAGTTTCGGCTCCCTCACTCCTTCAGGTGGGAGGGAGCCGAATATTTTGTGTCGTGTTCTTCCATCTGAGGTTTTCCAAAAAAGCACAAGCAAAGAGTAATCACAGGTCTTGAGGAGGTTGTAAATAAATACCTGAAGGATTTACGGCCATTCTCCTTTGATCCCCTTATGGTATCCTATTGATTTCAGGTTGATTTGTTCATTTTTTGGTTCTTTCTCCCAAGAAGACAAGGCCTCGCACACAGTTTCTTTCGACATGAGCTCCGAGCTCCTTGAGAATTCTTCCAAGGTGGAGCTGATTCATCGAGATCCAAATCCGTCCAGTATCAAAATAATGCCAAGTGTCAGATACAATAATACACTGGTTCTGGGTCAAGTCCCGCGTGGCCAGAACATGGGGAATGGTGTCGTAAGAGTACTCCACATCTTGTGCCTCGACAGGAATGCCTGGCCGGCTGAGGGTGCTGCTCGGAATAAGGTACATGAGCCTGACATTGAATTTGGATGAATTTGGTGTGTCCGGTGTTTTTGAGTTGCTTGATGGGCGCATAGAACTTGAGAAGAGAAGTTGCACCAAAGGGAGGACTGCTGAACGGGTGGTGCGTGATTCAGCTAGCAAATCCAAAGCAAGGGGGGAATATATAGTGGGGATACACAACGCAAATCTGGCGATCCTTGTCAGCGCCGTGCCTCCAATTGACAAACCTGCATCAACAAGTTCTTTCATTTCAGCCTTCTGCTGCTCTTCACCATCTTGCAGAAAACAAATAAGGTCAATGTCATTGAAACCTGTCAGGCAGGCTTGCATCAATGCTCCACTGTAGGAATGCTCTTGCTCTCCAGGCAGGGGGCTTCGTGCAACAACTAGTCGAGCCAGCTGCTACAGCATGACCAACCAAGCCAATCCAAACAAGTGAGCCAGGCTTAAATGTTGCCTTTGTGTGTGCTGTGCTTGAAGACCATGGAGAGACGGGAAGAACGAGCAAACGTCAATAGCTTCGTGCTTTTGTTCTTTCTCTCTCCCTCTCACTCATTGATTTACTCATATTAACTCACACTGTGAGTAACTATGTGCCCGCCAGTGTTTGCGACACATAGAAACATCAAACCATTATGTGTCTACATGTTTCTACAGCAGCTTTGCGGGCAGGCTATTATCATTCTCCAGCAGGACACTTGGAACCTTGAATCTCGGACTCCAAATCCGGATTGCCACGTTCAAGCCATAGGATTTTCGCCACCAATCGTGCAATCCCACCTCTGAAGAGCCGGCTTCGTATCATACGAAGGGAATCGGGAACAAGCATGTATAATCCATCAACCAAAAACTCACCCAAGCTCCAACCACTGTAGGAGAAAAAACTATATAATTATATATATTAATGTTTATAAATCTATAAGGTGCTTGCTGTCAATGGCTCACGCACTGGCAAGAGTACGGCCGATCTTAAACCAGTGCCGTCGTGCATCGGTGTGCCTTTGTAGCCAGTGAAAGGATGTTTGGCGATCCATTCCAAAAGCTCTTGTAGTGGAAGGGTGGCCTCATCGCCTCAAAAGGTGCACTTTTTCCTTCGTCCTACAGCTGCAGCGAACGATATTCTTTCCTGGCAGCGAACATTGATCTGATAATAGCTGTAAAGAGGTTATTTATGGTGAACTGGTTTCCGAATACAAATAAATGGCCAGTCTAGCAACTCCACCAACACGTAGCTCGTTGAATCCCCTAGCATACTGTCAAAATGATTTGGATGTCATAGCTCTTCACACCGCAGGAAGAACCACCCGTGAAACTAAAGAATCACAAAACCACCGTCATGCAACACTGCCCAGTCACTTTTCACATCTCGAAAGCGCTTTGGATCGAGTTCTGTAACTTCCAAAAGCCTTGCAAGTAGGAACCCAGGCAGCTTGTGGCAAGGCAAGTTTAGGTACTTCACTGGCTGGACGGCTGGACAAAATGCTTGGCCTAGAGAAGAATGTTCACTATCAACATGTAGAAAGCATTTGGAGGGAGTCTCCAAATGACATCTTTCTGCAAACTCGGGATAAAAACATCACCAGGTGAGGAATACATTGGACCCCCGGTGTCAAGAGCAACTGCTTTGACAAACCCAAACATCACATAGTTTCTCTCTCTCTCTCTGTCCCTCTCTGCGTTGCCTCCCTTATCAGCTTCCACAACATCCCACAATGCTCCTATATCTTGCAGGCGGGGTGCCGGGGACGACTCTAGAACATCTAAGGACATCTCGGAAATATCCAACCCATGGCTTGTGACAAGATGCTCGCTGTCCAAGGCATGGCTTTCTGGACAAACCATCCGGAGATTGGCAAAAGAGACTTGGCGGAAGATGTCCCAAGGCATGGGAAGCGGCCAGCGAAGTCTCCGCCAAGGGAGCAGGAGAAACAAAATCACAAGAATTGCCAAGCCTCAGAACAAGGTCGCAACATGTAGAGCCTATGTCAGCTCCTCAAGCCAGCGATGTGAAGGAGAACTGGCGAAGCGGTGTCCGTGACCCAGGGTCGCCAGTTTTCTGATATGCCGAGCAGCTAAACAATCCGGGTGGACTAATAAGATATCTAATTTTCTCTATATGATCTATATTATGCACAAATCATGCCAAGACTCTAATCACCAAATTCACCACAGCGACGCTCTGTGATCCAGTGCTCGCAAAGGCCCCGAGACCTGTAGAGGAGCTCAAAAGACTGGGCAGCGATGACAAACTGGCCAGCATCTTGGAGAAATAGCTGGCATCCATCTCCTGAGATTTTGCGGCGAAAATGAAGCAAGGGCCAAGCAACCTGAAGCCTTATCATGCTCAGAAGCCAAGCGTCTACGGATCGAGGCCCCAAATATCCCACTAGAATTCCTTTGCTTTGAGCCAAACGCGAGGTCAACATTGTAAAATCTTCTCAGCAACGCATGGTGGATTTCCATTAATTTCGCTCAATACTCTTGGCGGATCTTTTTAGACTACCTGACTGACTGCATGGAATACACCTGAAATTTGCGACCCAGTTAGTTTGACTCAGTGCTTCGTGCGCCGCAGTGGACATACCCCCTAGATCAAGGCCCCAACTGTGAGCAATTGTAGCAATGCCTTTCGCGCCTGAAGAACAAATGGCGGCTGAAGAAAACAAAACGAGCCCAACTGTCAGACTCTTGCAGCTCTGCCCAGTGCACTCTCAGAACATCTTCTTACATCTTTACTGAAAGCAAAATATGTTTTCCAGCACATACATCCACATACTACCCTTTCACCAAAGGCTCGCACCTGCCGCTTTTGCGTCTCAGTACTTGGCCGCTGTGGCACCTGATGGAATTGGTGTGCAGCTTTGGCACGTCGAAGTGTTTTCTCCCAAGTCACCATCCCGCTAAAAGTGTTCTCGTTGCTCGTATGGATTGGCTCCCTAGATTTCTCCCGGCCAAAAAAATTACTTTACTTCGAGTGATCCCCACCATGGCATTTCAATCATTTGTCTTGATGCCATAGTGAGGAGCATGTTGCCATGGTCGTGAGTATTGTAGTTCTCGATTTTGCTTCTGGGTCCTCCGGTTGTGTGCTGTGGTTGTGTGTTGTGGTTGTGTGCTCTGTTGTGGTTGTAGTTGTGTGTGTGGTTGTGTGTTTGTGGTTGTGTTTGTGGTTGTGTGTTTGTGGTTGTGTATTTGGTTGTGTGTTTGTTGTTGTGTTCGTGGTTGTGTTTGTGATTGTGTGTTTGTGGTTGTGTGTTTGTGGTTGTGTGTTTGTGGTTGTGTGTGTTGTGGTTGTGTGTTTGTGGTTGTGTGTGTGTGTTGTGGTTGTGGTTGTGGTTGCGTGTTTGTGGTTGGGTGTTTGTGGTTGCGTGTTTGTGATTGTGTGTTTGTGGTTGCGTGTTTGTGGTTGCGTGTTTGTGGTTGTGTGTTTGTGGTTGTGTGTTTGTGGTTGTGTTTGTGGTTGTGTGTTTGTGGTTGTGTTTTTGTTTGTGGTTGTGTGCTTGTGGTTGTGTTTGTGGTTGTGTGTTCGTGGTTGTGTTTGTGGTTGTGTTTGTTGTTATGTTTGTGGTTGTGTTTATGGTTGTGTGTTTGTTGTTGTGTTCGTGGTTGTGTTTGTTGTTGTGTGTTTGAAATTGCTTCCTATGGTTGAGGTCCAGCGGTGCAAACTGCGATCGGATCCTTGCGGTTGAGGTCCAGGGGTGCACACTGCAATCGGATCCTTGCGGTTGAGGTCCAGGGATGCACACTGCGATCGGATCCTTGCGGTTGAGGTCCAGGGGTGCACACTGCGATCGGATCCTTGCGGTTGAGGTCCAGGGGTGCACACTGCGATCCGGAGCTTGCCAGACAAGATCGGCGAAGCAGATTGGCGAAGCAGATTGGCGAAGAAGATTGGCGATGAAGATTGGCGATGAAGATTGGCGATGAAGATTGGCGAGGAGGTTGGCGAGGAAGGAAGCAAGGAGGATGGAAGGAAGGAAGAGGAAGAACAACTGTGATAAAATCTAACAACCCTCACCTGGCAGGTGGGGAACAAATGAGAAAAAGGTGCCCTCCCTTCAAGTCTACCATCGAGCACCTGCCAGAAAAAATGACAGTATACCCTGCTTGTAAATACAAAATGCATTGCTATTAGATATTGGATTTTTGGGTCACTTTGGCAAGGACCGGGATGTTCTCCACGAACAAGGATAACAGCAATAATGAATCACTTCAACTCTTCACTAACATGATTGGAAGCAAAACTGCCAAGACCTGATCTGAATGCAGCACTCACCTGACCAATGGTGCCTTTCTCAGGCCCCCCTTCCCTTCTACAACTTGTCACTCCCGACAGCAGGATGATCGCTTGATGTCTCATGCTTTTTAAAGCGTCGTCTCATCTGCCGTACTCATGTGGGAAGATGGGAATCACAGGTATCAAGTGTGGACAATGTCCACAGCTTGTGAAAATGCATGTGAGCTTCAGCTGGAATGCTGCTCATGGCGTACTAAACACCATGCATCGCAGCTGTGAAAAAGCCCATCAATGCAAAAAAACACATTCAGATCGTCCTCACGATCCCAAAAAGCCATCAACGGAGCTTTCTCAGTTGAATGGAGGCAACACGAAACACATGTCAGCCACTGTCAGCCACGACCTCACGTCAGCAGCTGATCATCGGTCCACCAACTCCAAATGTTCTGGAGAAAATGGATGATTCCACTGATACCATTCTGTTTGGTCTGCTTCCTGGCGGCACCCAGTCGGGCAGGAGTCTTCTTCCTCTTCGCCTTCATGGATCAACGAGAGAGTGGAGTTCCTGTTAATCTGGTGATTTTGTGCCCCTTTCCTGGGCTCTTGCTCCACCGGCGCTGGCATCACTGGATCACTGAATCTGCCGGCAACCCGTTGGCCTTTCTGGAAGGCAAGCGACTGCTGAAGCCCTCCTGCGAAGCCTCCACGGCGGATAAGCTGTCCTTTCACTATGGCGCCTCTCTCATTAGACCCTAACGTACGTTCTGCGGCTCCACCTCTTCTAGGGCTGGTTGCTGTGCTGGTGCCACTCCCCATGGTCGTTGCACCCACACTGAGCGATGTTCACTAGGGGCACAGGAGCTTGAGCCAGAAACAGGAGGCAAGCTCATATCAAATGGCAATGAGCATATATGAGCATAACCATTTCGAGCGACACTACAGTCACTATGCTGTGTGCACTTTGTCTCTTTCTGCACGCTCACGACATTGCTGCAGCGACAATGTCTGGATCACATTCTGGCTGCCTCGGACAGGAGTCCATGGGGGATTTGCTAATACACTGCATGGCATATGACAAAAGAACCAGAAGGTTGGTGCAACCGGGAAGTTTTTTGGGGGGTCAAGGGATGCAAATGAGTCTTGCATCGTTGTAGTGTTTTGTATTGCACTCTTGTGTGTGTTCATATATGTTGATCCCCTCCTTCACCAAGTCACAAATATCGTCCTTGTTGGTGCTTGGCCTTCCTTGGCTATGGCTATAGGCCAGCTTCGAAGCTGGCGGCGCTAGTGCAGGTTCGATTCCACTCTCGTATGCGGCAGAACCCTTCATGAAGGTCATGGCGTGCAGCTGTCTTTGACATGTCTTTCATGTCGATTATGTTGGGCTCATCCATCTCTCATTTTCTAGGTTTTTCCATTAATTACAGTAGTACCTATTATGACATCATCACATATATTTGGCAAGTATCTCCTGGCTTTCTCTGCTTGTTCTGACAACCTCTTCCAAAGGCAGCACGTCAAATGCCAGCGTATCGACCTGACATTGCGCAACAGCACAAACCGGCGAAGCGGCTTCGCAAGCTGCATTTTGGACAAAATGGAAGTGCATTGAGGTGCAACATGTTCTGCATGTCTGGAACGAAACATCTCGCCGTATGAGTAGGATTGCGTAGCATCTGGAATTCTTCAGGCAAAGCGACTCGCATTTTTCCCAAGTAAAGAATAGCCAGCGAAGCCAAGGCCTTGACTGCATGAGGAATAAATATATATATATATATCTGAAGCCTCTTTCATGCTGGCATCTTGTGCTACAAAACCTGCAGTGCCCTCATGGTGCATGAGTCTGCAAATCTAGGCCAGTGGCCACTAAGGGTGGTCCCAGCCACTGCCGGCTTTGGCTGAGCATCTGAAGCACACCAGTCATCAGCAAAATGTAAATTGTGATCACCTGAGTTTGTGCTCAAGTGAACACAGGACAAAGCTCACAATCTTACACAAGACAGCTCAGCGGATTCTCCATGCGATCAAGCAACCAGAAACAAATGATTGATGCCGTTGACCCAAAGCACCCCCCCCAGTGTCTGGCTTCTTTGTCTCTGCATAGACTACCTGCATGCACAAGACCACCTGCATAATGACCGACCAAAAGTTCACTTCATCCTGCAGAACTAGTCTCTAGAAGAAATAGTCATTCTCGTGATCTCAATAGTGGTGAAGTTGTGGCAGTGGCGGTAGTGGTATTGGATGGTATTGGTAGATTAGTAGCGCTGATGGTTGCGGTGATAGTGTGCTGGCAGCCGTGCGGGCACTTTTAGGGCTAAACTCTGACAAAAGTGTGCCATTGAACTTCCAACCACAAAAGTCGGGACTGGAGAGCACATGCGGAATACCACACAGCATGTGACCATTCAGAAGCCAAGCAGCCAAATAGGTATACGTTGCTTGCGACAGTGTCAATGAAATGAACGCGAAGACAAAAATCAAAGGAGAGCAAGAACAAAACCTGAGCTTCAGCCGTCGAACACCCATCCCATAAACCGTCTAAATCATCGAGCGATGTCTTTGGGACACGCAAGTGGGTTCGCCATGGTTTGCCAAAGGTGTTGCATGGCCCTGTGTCACATTGGCTGCCTGAGGCATCACTTTTAAAATCTGTATTGTTCGTCTGCCAAGTCTCGTGAACGTGATGGCGGCAATGAGCAAAGAATATGCCATTCGTGCTCCCACTCCTGGTCTGCGCCCTCAACTGGGCGATATGTATATAGCATGATATAATGCATACCCTGTAAATACTTATATTATATATATATATATGTATATAATACGGATATGATATATGACTATCTATTGTATCTATCATCTATCTATATATATATACATATATCTGTATACTGTATATATTGCACCACTGGTCACTTGAGCATTGTTTTGGGGAATTGTGTGGGGCTGCTGGTATACTAGAACATCTAAGGTTCTGTCGCAAGCTTTCGCGGCTGCAAAGGGTGCTTACACGGACAGTGATT